CGTCGGCGTATAAGTGCAAAAAACAGTTGCTTCATCAATTTTTTGAAATATAAAAGGGCTGTCAGCTGTCTGAATATCGAGTAAGTTTTTTTCTATCTGCTGATAGGCAAAATGAGTGAGATGCTTGTAGAATTGCATATTTAAATTGGATAGGTTATTTGGTACTTTTAATATCATTTTACTATATTCATTCTGCTTCTGTACTCTTTTCATTTTTATCAAAACGAATAGTTTATTAATAAATTCATGAAAAGAACTGTATATTGAAATAACAGATTTCAATTTAGCATTTAAACTTTCCAATCTGTTGTTTGTAAAATTATAAAAATTGTCGCTATATTTTGTAAAACATCTCACCCATTCTTGTTTAACTGGGTTCCAGTTTTTCATAAAATATTTTATTACTGAATCTGGCAATTTCAATTTCATATTACTCAGGATACTTTCATAATCATCTTCACTTTTTGAATATGCTATCTTATTTAAAAATTCCAGTGATAATCTGACTTCCTCAGAAGTTATTTTTAATTTTGCTACTGTGACTTCTCTTTGGAATATTTGAAAAGTATGGAACAGACATATTAATTTCTTTGCATTAGGAAATTCTTTACTGATGACATCTCTTTCAGCAGTACTTTTATCTGTCATTATAACTTTTATATTTGGCCACTTTGGATTTCTTTCTTTGAATCTGAAATTTAAAAAATAATCATATAAGTATACTACATATTTATTAATTCCGATAAAATATGTGAAAAACAATTATTGTAAGACATGTGTCTTACAATAATTGTATTGTACATTCAAACAGAATCAACATCATTTTCTTAATATATCACAGACACTGACTTGTATATAGTCGAATCGCAAATTCAACGTATGCACGTCATCTGTCAATCAAATTAGTTTCTTTTAAATTAAGGATATAATCATACATTACATCGTCGGTCACTGTAGCATATACAACCGTTGTCCTAATTATGTATTTTAATGCGATAAAATATTGAAAATTATGTTGCCATTAATTATTACAGTACAAACATTGTATCACGTTAATGACGTGCATACGTTGAATTTGCGATTCAACTATATAGTTACAGGCAAGAGTTTATATGTGAGGTCTATGTCGGAGGAATTTTAAGCATATGAAAAAGCAAAATACATACACATTGAGAAACCAGCCTAAAGATTCACTATCTTCTTTTGTTGTGATAGTAATTCCAACAATGTCAGTGGTACCAAAGGAATTTTCAACAACCATCACATAAACAGGACACCGATTGTTTAATAATTTGTAAGTTCCGTCTAGGAAAAGTATCTCAGGAAACAGAGAAAAACATTTTTGCATTTCCTCGTCTTGGAAAAAAATTCCTTGAAATGTATTCTCCTCCGTTTGTACATCAATTAAGCAGTGATATTTTTCTTTTAAAATGCTGATAATTTCTTGCAGGTTGTCTTTTCCCTGACTGTTTTTAACAATATTTGATATGTCACGCAACAATATTGAGTTCCCTGTTTTTTCAACTAGGTCTGCCTGAAGTAATTTCTTATTTATTTTTAGTTTCATCATTTCCAAAACACATTTTTTATGTTCGTCTGAAAGTCTTCTTTGTTTTGGTAAATGTTTAAATATTTCTCTATAACAAATAAAATTATTTAATATTACTTAGCTAATTAGCTAATTTTACATCTATGGAATTATATAAATATAAAATTTTTATATCGAGCTAATTTTCCATTCACTTACTCTGTAGGAATTTCATGATTGTGGTTAATATTCATAGATTTAATCAGTAGCGACTTTCCATCATCCGATATTTTCACATTGATTTCTGCGGGGCAATTTTGTTTTAAAGTTCTACAACATAAAAAAANTACCGGCCCATTAGCCTGCTCCCGGCTATGAGCAAAGTGGTAGAAAAAATTATCCTAACCCGTCTAAGAACCCACTCCCAAGAACTGCAAGTCATTCCAGACGAGCAGTTCGCCTTCCGACCCAATCACTCCACTGAACTCCAAATCCTTCGCCTTACCGAGCACATCACGGCGGCCTTCAACAGGGGACAGTACACTGGTGCTGTCTTCCTGGACGTCGCAAAGGCCTTCGATACGGTTTGGCATGAAGGCCTACTGATGAAAATGCTCACCAACCAATATCCCATATCCTTTACCAAACTCATAAAATCCTACCTACACCACCGAAAATTCCGCATCCAAATCCAAGATTCCCTTTCCACCACCCGTCCCATGGAGGCCGGTGTCCCCCAGGGCACCGTCCTGTCCCCACACCTATACACCATTTACAACTCCGACATCCCACATCCCCCCAACACCAACATATACTTATACGCCGACGACCTGACCATCGCTTCCCAATCCGTTAATCCTAGATATTCCGCCTCCCTCCTCCAAAACTCCCTAGACCAACTTGAAACCTGGTGCAACAGGTGGAAAGTCAATATTAATCCCAACAAAAGTTCGGCTATCCTTTTTACCAAACGAAAAATCCCACAAAACCTCGACAGACTGACACTATCCCAGGAACCCATCTCCTGGAATCGACAAACACGATACCTGGGCGTGACGATGGACCAGCGTCTCACGTGGAAACCGCACATCGTGGAGACGGTGGCGCGAGCGAAGGCCACCAGGGCTAGGCTCTATCCCTTACTCAAAGGTAGAAACGCCCTTAGTTTAAGGAATAAGCGAACGCTTATCAAGGTGGTACTTCAACCGCAGCCAACCTACGCCTCCACGGCGTGGGGTCACGCGGCAAAAAGCCATTTGAAGTCACTACAGGCTGTGGAAAACATAGCCCTCCGCACGGCCACCGACGCGCCCTGGTACGTTAGAAACAATGACATATTACGAGATTTACAATACACAAACGCTACACAGACAATAAGACAAAACGCGGAGAAACGGTTTGACGTAGCCGCTAGACATGACAATCCTCTCCTCAGGCAAGCCGTTGACTACGTACCCGACATGACCGACAAACACAAAAGACCTAGACACCAACTTTTTGAGCCTGGGTGACCACCCCAGACATCCCTCCTCCTGCCCGCTAACCTTTTCTGTTTCAGAAACCACCAGGATCAAGAAACAAAGACAACGACACACACACACACACACACACACATACACACCCCCCATACCCTCCTTACCCCTCCCCTCCCGCGCTAGCCCACACACACACACACACACACACACACACACACACACACACACACACACACACACACANCCCGACACAGACATGACTTAAACGTACTTAACAGACGG